AACAGTAATCAGGAGACTTAATACAAAATATTTGCAAAAATTACACACCATTCGTTTTGTAATAAATTATAGTTTTCTTAATATGTCATATTTTATTCTCATTAATTTATTTTAATTGTGCTATGTATTTAATTGTACAATTTAATATTTCTAATCCTTTTAATTTCAAAATATAAACAGCGTTTATTTTGTTCGATTCTACAATCCACGAATCGAATATTCATTTTATAATAAACAACTTTTTAATTCACAAGAAGTCATAAAAGTAATAATAACAAATTATACGTAGTAATGAAAGACACACATAAACAACCCGGTAGGGAACTTATTAAGATTAATTTGAATAGTCATTTGGTTTGATACATTGTATGATGGAAAATTTTATGGTAATAATAATGATAATCAATAATGAATATGCATGGTGTTTTTGAATTACAGGCTCATAAAGTAGCAAATGGTAGCTGATGATGAGAACAATATTTTTTATGTGCCGAAGTTATGTTTCATTTCGCTTTATCTGTCAGTAATGAAGCCTTTAAAGGGAAGATTTTTAGTACCAATAGACATATTTCCTTTGTATATTGTATTTATTAATTTAAAAAATTCTTGTAATTTCAAAAACATACCTTCTATTTTATTAAATTAGCATTTTCGCACGAACTTCTCTTGCTATTGTTAAGAAATGTTGTTATTTCCAAGGAGCAATAAAATTTAATTGAATATTAAATAACAATTCTTCAAAATTGTAAAAATTATTCACATTTGATGATAAAGAAAGTTATATACTATTTTCACAAAGATTGTTATCTGTTTCTTCAATTTATAGCGGAATTCGATAATAAAACAAATTACATTTTTTAAATTCAAAACAGAGTTTGCTTATGAAACAAAAATGTTCTATTTTAAATTTGGCGCAGAATTAAATAATATAGAAAGCTACGTATTGTATAAATATTTATTCATGATGCTTTAAACTCTAAAAGTTATAAGTCGTGAACAGATTTTATACTATTGAGAATAAAATTTGATAAACATCTACTGTTTATTAAGAATTTAATTAGTCTTTATTATTTTTAATAATATTGTAAAATTTGGAACTCATAGAAATTGCATACTTTTCAAATCGGTAATTTTTTAAATATCAGAGTTTGGTGAATGATCAAGTCGTATTTTCATTAACAATACTTTTAGTATCATTTTTCAACTTTGATCTCTACTATCTATACCTCTTCACATTAAATTCTTCAACATCTTTATACAAGTTGTTACTTATATGAAAATGCTATTGACGTACATTATCGATACTTTTCTTATTACGAAGTTGTTTAAATAAGAAAATACTGGTAGGATGTTATAATGATATGTATATAGCTGGGTGAATTTTCTGTATACGTTCTGTATACACATATTCATGTACCAGTTTTATTACGAATATTAATTCGTCCCTTCCCATTCGATATCCAATTCTAGACTACTACCATCTTCTTTCCTTTCTCGTTACTGTTATTTCAAAATACATATTATGAATTCATCCAGTAGCTATTGAGGATTATATACGAGGCTTATGCCATCACTCTTCGGTTAGCAAACTGCTGATTCATGGGAATCATGGATAATAATGACCACTGTTCCAGTACGGGTTTATGGATTTCACGTCGTATATGCAATTTTCGAAATAGACCTTCAGTATGCACGTTTCTTACGTACTATAATTGTAAATTGATTTGAAAAATTGAATCAATATTTATTTATTTAAATATTTATCGTGAAATCTTTAATATTTCTTAGCATTTACTAGTATTAGTAATTAACGATATTTTCATATATTTTAATATTGAAGACGAGTCATACTATTAAAATGTATATTATAATAAATATTTGTGGGAAAAATAATTTTACATTAAAACTGTCATTGTTTTCAGCTGTTAGATTTAGTGTAATAATCAAGAAAATAGCGTAAGTAGTGTACATTCCGTTTCGAGATATTACAAGTTATGCGTTTAAATAAATGAAAAAATCAATTACATCGCATCTACAAACACAATCCAGCGAATCCATTTTTCGTTATTTCCTAAATAAACTTTCACACTACTGTAAAATAAATTCATACAGTAGAAAATAAGTGAAAAATTTATTTCTTTAACATTTTTTATTTATACCACATTTATAATTACCCTTTATATGTTTCATTTTTTGATATTAAAATTTTTACATTTTGATGAATTAATATTATTATTTGCTCAAATAACTTTATATTATTGCAATTTAAACAGAGGATACATAAAATAAATGATTAATTCATTTTATTGAGCACATTATAACTTGTAGTATAGCTGAACGAGGAGAGAATTCAGATGAAAATATTAATCAAAAATATAGAATAACACCTTTTGATATAAGGCTTCATTTTGATGGAAATCGGGTTTTCGAATTCATCGAATGTGCATGCACTAGATTAGAACTTTACTCATACTCAAAAATTGTTATCTAGTACTTCGTTAAAGCACCTTTGAAATTCTGAATTAAATAAGTAAATAATTTCTATTTTATTTAGCTTAAGGAAAATCGCAACGAAACGTATTGGGTTTCCGCGAATTAATTACCTCCTACGCCAATAGCTGATTTATGCAAAGTTATTGGCTTGGGAGGTTAATGTAGTAATGCAATTTACTCGTCAACTGTCAGATTTCGATGATACTGCTAAATTCATGCGGCTACGATTTGGGCAACGTTATAGTGAACGAATTTATGTTCCTTTCTAATTTTTTTAAATTAACGATCTAGTGGATAAGTTTATGAATTATTAGAATTATTGAGATACAAATTGAATAAAATTACAAATTCTTAAGAACCAAATGGTCATCGGATAAATGCAATAGACGATGGCTACAATGAATACGCATTTCTGTAATTATATAACATAGAAGAATAGAAATTGCGCAATTATTTATACAATCCATTGCATGATGAATAAATATCGACGAATTCATAAAATACCTGTAAAGTGGGTTATGTGCAATATGACTACTTTCATAAGGATATATGCATATATTTGATCGTTCTTGTTGTACAATGTGCAAGAAAAATAATAGCATATATGATTTTCAATGTTTTCGAGTAACTTTGAAACGGTATATTTTAACGAAGAAGATGAATTTATTTACTTAATTGTAATTCTTGTAAAATATGTGACAAAATTAATAGCATATTCTACGATTTTTAGGGTTTCATTAGAAATTTTAAACCGTTATCTTCAATCTCAAGAAAAAAAAGGTCATTATAAATAAAATTTTATTTTACACGGAAGATTTTTATTATACAATGCCAAAAGTTGACAAAATTATAGTATTTAATATTATATAGTATATAGTATACAAACATATTTTAAATCTAATCTAAAATTAATATTATATAGTATTATATAGTAAGTATTACTATTATTGGAATACTTTTATAAATATACAAAAAATCGACATTTTTTATTTGTTTATCTTCTAAAATTACCACGATAAGTAATTTTCAAAATCCGATTTAAATTGAATGGACATTTTTCCACTCTGAGACGACTGAAATTTCGTTGATTAATTTTCTCGTGTCTGTACTATCAATTTTCACACAGGTAAAAATGTTACATTAAACACGTCAAATTTTTAGAGGAAGATGAGATCTGTGGTTAATTTTTTTCTATATTATTCAAAAAAGAAAACATTACAAGGTATACGTTGCATTAACCTCAAGGAACATCGAAAATCATAGTGTTACTGTATTCGTGAGAATGTTCATCGAAAAACGGGTCCACTGCAACCGCAGCCTTATGGTATTTGTGAAATATGGTTCGCGGTGGTTACAGCATGACGTTCATCAAGCATGGTCATGATTGAGGTCATACGTGATGGATTATCGGGCGTGTCGGATTATTAGATGGATTATCAGAATTCTATAGCGCTTGCATAGTCATATTGTCATGATTTCATTGTAGCCATAGTAGAATTGCAAGTTCAATGTAGTGCGATCAATAAAATGTAATTGGAGCATTGTTTTGGGAAATAACGTACATGAAAAATGTAACACGAACGTAAAAAAATTAAAATTTTTTTACAGTAAAACCACACGTTTGATAAGAAGAAATAAATAAAAAAATTGGAAAAAGGAACAGAATTATATTATGAAGTATGCTGTATCTTATATTTTCCTATCTTCTTTCAGTTTTTAAAGGGTTACTTGATATTAAGGCTAGAACTACCAAAGGAATAGGAAAGTCTTGTGTCAGACTTTTTATTTTTGCTGAAAATATGTAGTAGTTTTTAACAACATTAATATTGATTTCTATTCAAATAGAATCATAATTAGGTATGGGTGCTTTATTTGCATTACACTACATTGTGCTACAATTGTACGTTTAGGCTGCAATTTAATTGTGAAAAATTGTGCATTAAAGAAACATATCATTTCAGTTAGTTACTACATATCAATTCCGCCACGATAAAATTATAAAAGTTTTTAGAAATTATACAAATTTTACACATATCAGAATACTTTAAACCGAATCATTTAAGTAAATGAGGAGAACAATTGGTAAAAGTTGGCTTTAGGCTGGCTTAAGTTTGAGTTAAATTTCATTTTATTGTGTAGAGTAGACATATCTACAATTTCTCTTTTTATTGCTTTTTGCTTTTCTGTCATGGTTTATGCGAACAAAACGAATTTTTACTAATTTATCCATAACCTTTAGCATTTACCAAAATGGTTTACTAAAATGTTCGACAAGACAAGATATAATTTATAAATTCTATTTTTATATTTCAGTCATTTTGTGTTTAAATATTAATTCATTAATGTTTTTAGTTGCAGTTATACATTTAAATATACTTATATTTAAATGATCAAGTAATTTATATTTATATGATTAATCGTCATCGAATAACTATTCTCTGGATTATATAAAGATACGAAATATTTGGAAAAAAGGAAAGTTTTCGTAACTTTTGTGTTACACTTACGTTTATTGCTTCAGCCGCGCAAATATTTCAAATATCTTCTCCTTATCCCTCGATCTTGCCTCGCTACGACAATCGCATGCCTGTGATCTGAAAACGAAATAAAATCGAAATAAAAATAATTCAAGCATACAAATTTCTGTATAATTCCTTTATATACTTAATTATTTGTTTGCATCATTAACCTATGTATTATGATACCTATGTATCACTAACTGTATATAGAGTGTCCCATTTAATTTGAGTATCAAAATTAGTTCTGTTGCTACCAAAGATATCAACAAATAATTAAAGGACACTTAAATGAAGACGAGTTCAAGAAACCAATGATATCACAACCTTCGTAAAGATCTTGACAAAATTTTGTTTTATCATCATTCAAGCAATTTAAACACTGCTTAACAATTTTCTTACACCTTCGATAACTTAAATAATTTAAATGTTCAACTTCAATGAGACATCCTGTATATGAAGGCCAGATGTTAGGTCAGTTTTTACATACTTGTTTCTTGATCGTTATGTAAATCTTTTTCGTTTGAATTAAAACCTCTATTCATGTATAACTAAGATATAAAGTGGCCATTGTCATATACATCATATTATATATGTATATCACATTAGAATTATAACATTTAAATTGTGTAGAAGATTATAAAATTTCTGTACCGCTATTGTACAATTTTTAACGGAAATATTGCCAGCTTATGTATTTCAGTTTACTGTAATTAATAATCAGCTGTTGTAATAATTACAGCATAATTACAGAATGATTTCCAAAATCACATAGGCGTGAAATATGTGTTTATGAAAGTACAAATATGTGTATGTATGTATGTAACTATCGCTTTTTCTTTAATCTATGGCGTAATTTTGCGGTCTTATTCTATCATCATGTAGAAACCTGTTTTACGTAATGGACACTATACTAATGAATATAAAAAATATTCTTAACTTGTATTCTTAATTTTTTCGACTGCGCGTATATTATACTAAACATATTTTCCTGATAATTTCCTAAATTACTTCCCAATCAATCGAAATTACTTAGACGATTTTTCAGGTAATTAAAATCGTTTAGACCGGTATTTGGATAATTACTCGTGTAATTTGAAAATTATCTGGATAATTTGAAAAGCGAATGTTTTCTTTCTTATTGCAATCATAAAACTCATCTCGTTCATTGTTTCGAGTATACTGAATTTTCTTATTACCGTAAGTTATTCTAATGTGAATAATTTGAGAATTATGTATGTCATTTTTCGAATAACATTTTTAAAATATTTTCAAGGTGATTTAAGAGAAAGGACATGTAATATCAATGAAATTAAGGTAAGCGTAATCACTGTAAAGCTGAATAACTGAAGTCTAGAATAAATTACTTTTGTAAGAATGGGTAAAGATATAAGAATATTTTCATAGTCAATATAAAGAAATATATTTATTCATTCGTGTTACTTATAAAACAGTTTATATAATCATGAGTAAATGTATTGGTAGAACTTTCATTTAATTTTATATTTAAATGCAAATATATGGAAGAAGAGGCACCTGGTTAACTCGATCTACTTTTAAAGTATTATAGTCATTTTATTCTCATTAATTGCATAAGGAAGGAAAAGAATAAAACGTACATTAGTAGCTGCTTTTATCGAAAGAAAAGTATTAGTACGAACTACGAAAGTATCTCCAATTTTGTAGTATATTCTTTAATGTTATAATATATTTTTAATACATGATATTATATATTATATTACGTAAAATAATTTTATGTCTATAATATATAATGACTAGGTTAGTTTAATACTTTGTATGTGGTACCTGATTTTACCTGACTGTACATATAACAAAACCTAGTTTAAAATAAACATTCGTTGGTAATGTTATTTATTTATCTCATATTTAATTTATGGACTTATGTGAACCATGCTATATACAGTGTATCGTATAACCGTTTCAATTATTTAATTTTATATACTTGCGTGGTTATAATTATCATTGTGTTTTGTTTAAATTATCGTATGTCCCGTGTTTCTGAATTATTCATCCTTTTGTTCGTCTCTTAATTATTTACATCATATTCGAAGGGAAAGTGAGATGTCAGAAACATTGCATATTCTTATCAAGTACGGAAACTACATACAGAGAACATCGTTACCTATCTCGTATTTTATTTAGAAATAAAGTTATACTTTTTATAATAATTGTAATTATAGTAGTATTAAAAATTTTACGAAATTATATATATTTTGTTAATATTGCAATAATAAAACATGTGTGTTTCCGTATATGTACAACATCTTTTGCATACTTTTGGTTGCGCGTGATAAATGTAGCCACCCGAGTATGAAATTTACTTAAGGTTTCAATTGTCAAAACATAATACTATTAATATGTCATATACATTTTTATATTTTTATATATTTTAATAACTAGAAATAAGAAGCATTCACCGAAGAATAATCATATATCTACTCCAATTTACGAATTTCCTAAGCAATTAGGAAATAATTTCTTAATCAATTATGTGCACTTACTAATGATCGATTAGAATTTTGTATATTTATTGCCAATATCTTTCAAAAATCATTTACTCTCCATTCTAATATATTTCACTAAAATTCTTTTAATATTATTATTTGCAACTTACATTGAAACAAAAATTGGCTCCTGTGTAAGTAATTAAAAATGACCTTGAAATTTAGAAAGATACAAATAATAGGAGGAAAACAATAGGAAGAAAGTATACAAGGTGCAATAATCGTAATCGTATATATGTTTTAAAGTCACTGTTTACAAATTATCGTTCATTATGCACACAGTTATCGAAGTGATTCTAGTCAAATGCCTCACCCTGTATAAGCACCTTTCTATTTATCGTTCTTCCAGTAAAGGAATTGAAAACAGAGAAGGAAGAGTAAAAAAAAGTTTGATCGACGTTAAACACAGACCTGTAGGTTGGCCTTTTTAATTATTCCTCTTTTATTTGTGGATCGTTCGATGATTTAGCGAGATGAAGAATGACGTGATATCGACCTCGACTGTTTCCTGCCTTATACACGCGTAGGTATATACGCTCTCTTCTCTCCGAGACCTCGACCGATTCTCTCAGCTCGACGTAGCGTGCTCGTGTGCTTCGATGACAGCAAGCATCCCGAAAAAATTGTTTCTATCGTAAGTAGCAAAAGAACGAAGAAAATAGGAAACAAATGAGGACACGAGGCCCAAAGATTTTTAAGTATTTCCAAATATTTCAGAAAGAATATGCAGATCTCACATCGATTATAAAATCATCGACAAAGCTGTAAAGAAAAGGAAGAGTGAAGACACAGGAATATCGAATAAAAGGTGAAAGGAGATCAATCATTTCCAAAAGTCTTTGGATATTCTAGAAAGAGTATTAAACTCTTATATCACTGATAAAGTTGTACAAAAAAGGAAGAACCGAATGAATTAAACAAATTTTTAAATATTCCTTATGACATGAAGGATCTAATTAATGATAGAATTATCGTACAGCCTTTAATTTATTCGTCAATTTTTGCAGATAATTGCAAATCCTATTAACGCTGAATATATTAAGTTCATTTGCATACATTCCTTTTCTACAGGAGAAACAGTGAAAATTCAACGCTTTTGTATTATTATACAATTACGCTGTTACATTTAACCATTAAATTGTAATCAGAGGATCATGTTACGCACCTATTGACGATCATTAATTACAACGTTTTCGATCAAATTAAGCTCTATATGTGTGGTAGATACAACGAATGCTTTGTCGCGAAATGAAAGAATAAACTTAACTCCGCATAATCACAACCAAGCTATAAAACTATAAATTCAAATTTCGTATTTTATACTCGCATAACCTGTTTCGACACTCTTCTTAGTCATTTTATGTACCTTATAAATATCTTTGACATCATAATTATTACGTGTTAATTTCTGCTATGATTAAAATCCATAAATAAAATAAAAAGAAGAAAGAAGTGGAAGGAAATAAAAGACTCGCGTCAATGAGTCTTTTTATAAAAGAAAGAAATGTGACGTTGCAATGAAAAGGGTTTTAATTAAGCAGGATTAACATAGAAACAAGACGAAAAGGAAAATTACTCTTCGTGAAATAACAGAAAATGGCTGAGTATTCGCCGGAAATCTGAGAAAACGCAATTGAGGAAATTATAAACTAGCAATGTTGACAGCTTTACTGGTTTTCCTATTGCACAGTGAAAGTTCGTAGAAGAATAGTTTGTGCGAAGAACAAGGACAGGTGGAGGAAATTTCAATGAAGGCCAGGAAGAAATTTTTAAAGTGAAATTTATGTAGGTCCTGGGAATGTAAGGGATTGTGTGAGGATGAATTCGGGAGCATGTTTTCGAAGATCTAGAGTAGGTGGCGTCGAAAGTTGTGCAGTTTCTGAAATATCGAAGGCGTTAGGCTGTTCCATTTTCGAAACTTTCAAGGTTTCCTACGGATTACATTTGCATTTCGATATTATGACCATATTCGGAACGCGGAATGTTGCAGACGTGAGCTTTCATGAATATTAATTATTTTGTTTGCTTTTTCGTGTCATCGAAATTAATTAATTTTAATTTATAACCTTTTCTTTGGTACCATCAATTTTAGTTGTGATGCTTGATTATTTAATGTCTGGTCATTATCATTGGAAAACTTATTGAAAAGTAAAACTACCTTTTAATATATATTATTAAATTTTCAATGTTAATATATATAATTTACGAAAATTAAATATATATAATTTGCAATACATGGATATATAATATAATTATTAACAAATACATATATGTAATTGTATAAATATATTATAACATATTTGTAATAATTATATTTATATATTATATTACATACACAGTGTTCCTATTAAGTATTTTCGAAACTAATAATAATACAAACAAATATTTCAGACAAAAATTAAATGGTTTCTGGAAACACGTAATGTAAAGAGATAAGTGACTTAGTACTTTAAATATTCAAAATAACGATATGCATGGATTAGTACTATCAAAATATAATTTAAAGAATTGATTTGACTTTCATATAATCTTTACATCTCTATTTAGGAAAGA